GAATTTTCAGCCTGCTTTAACCCACCACGCCAGGCAAAGGGGATGTGGTGGGGTGGAGGGGTGGAGCACACAGGGGGGGGGGGGGTTGGGGAGAGGGTAGTGTGCAGCAAAGAAGCAAGGAGAAGGTGGAGAGAGAAGAAGGTCATAAGTAACATCTTAGAGAGCCTTGCAAACATTTTTCTTTTCTGTGTTAAGGATTTTACATTTTCTTTTCCATACAGTGTGAAGACATCGAGGAGTTTTAAGCAAGGAAATTATCTGTTCCCCAGTGCTTCTGAAGCTGATGCTTATAGTTTAGAGTTTCTGTGCCTGTTTTCACACCCATTTCATGGATTTAGTTTGGCAGAGGCTGCGATAACTTTGTATTCTGCTCGCCAAAAACTCTCAGTAAAATAAATGAGAAATACATAAACGAATTGGTTAAATAATTGATCATTGAAAACAACTGTAATTGTAGGGCATTGGTACAGTGATTCTCAAACTTTAATGTGTCTGTGAATCTCCGGGGTATCTTATCAATATGCAGGTTCTGATTCAGTAGGTCTGGGATGAACTGAAATTCTGCATTTCTAACAAGCTCCTGTGCAACATTTCACACTTGGAGGACTGTTTAGAAATCATTGTATGTTGGGGCACCTGGGTGGCTCAGTTGGTTGAGCATCTGCCTTCAGCTCAGGTCATGATCACAGGGATTGAGCCCTGCGTTGGGCTCCCTGCTCAGCTGGGAGCCTGCTTCTCCCCCTGCTCTCCCCCTCCTGCCTCCTTCCTCCCTGTCCTTCTGCCCCTCTCCTCCCCTCCCCTGCTTGCTCTCTCACCCTTCTCTCAAATAAATAAATAAAATCTTAAAAAAGAGAGGGAGAGAGATATATCATTATATGTCATAATGTTTTCAGTTGAAAAAAAGAGAAAATGGGATGTGGGCACCAGGCAAGCAGAGGTGAGATGATGTCATCCATGTCCAGAATCTTCCTGCCTCCTGCTCACCAGCTTCACCTTCATGCTCAGGCCCCTCCTGGCCTCTGATGGCTGCTGAGTTTCCAAGGAATCACTTTAGGAGACTACAATGTCCAGAAAGAGAAAGATACTGTATTTATGTGTGTTTCTTTCTTAGGAGGAAGCCTTTTCCAGATGTCTCCCAGAAGTCTTTCCCTAATATCTCTGTGGCCAGAATTGGTTACATACTGAATGGTAAATCAGTTGTTGGCAAGTGGATGGGGAGTTCCATGACTGGTGTGGACTAATCAGCAGCTACTGCTGGGAGTGGGGATCTGGGGAACTGGGACTGGGAGAAGACTGAGCAAAGCTGGAAGGTGGGAGTAGACAACCAGCAGTGTCCACTACGCTATAATATGCAATTTGGTGAATTATACAGAGACCTACATATTATATCTATATCCATATCTCCATATCTATTTTTATGTCTATCTTTACCTATAAAATAGGGAATTCAGCACTTTTTATAAAAAAAAATTTTAGGACAAATTAAAATGTATTACCCAATACCCATTAACTAGTGTACAGAAACAAGCATTTGATGATTTAAGCTGGAGTGGAAAGGTCCGGGACTGTGGGAAAGTATTTATTCTGAAATCTACAACCTTGTTGGGGCAACAAAAGGGAAAGAACTAAAACAACACCCTGTATAAACAAATGGATTTTTTTTCACCCACTTGGCCAACAATTACTGGATAATCACTATAAACAAAGATCTGCGGGAGATCCAAAGATAAGGCACAGTGCCCTCCTGATAAGAATTTTGCAGTTTAGGGGCACCTGGGTGGCTCAGTCATTGGATGTCTGCCTTCTGCTCAGGTCATGATTCCAAGGTCCTGGGTTCCAGCCCCGCCTTGGGCTCTCTGCATGGTGGGAGGCCTGCTTCTCCCTCTCCCACTCCCCCTACTTGTGTTCCCTCTCTCACTGTGTCTCTCTCTGTCATATAAATAAATAGATAAATAATCTTAAAAAAAAAAAAAGAATTTCACAGTTTAAGACACACAAGCAGTAATGGGTGCAACATATAAAAAGATAAGTGCCGAAAAAGATGCTAGAACAAAGCGTATGGAACCCAGATTAAGGAAACAGTCCTTCTGACTGGGAGGGCTACGGGGAGGGTAGAAGATATCTCCAGACTAGCCTTGAAAGATGGGGAGACTTTTAATCAGTGACACTGGCGGCAGGGACGGATTGGAGAATAGGAAGATGGGAAAAATGAATATTCCCAATGTGTGGGGGGGGGGGGGGGGAGGGAACCACATACGGCACAAGTGATGTGGGTGTGGGGAAGGCAGATACTCTTATTGGATTCCTACTATAATTTCTTATCAACACGAAGCCATAAATAATATCAAGCAAGTGTCAAGGCATACAATGAAAAAAAATGAGACAGGGACAACTCCTGGGAAGAGAGAAGCTTGAAACACACTCATGTAGTGTTTAGTGTCCGTGGGTGAGCAGGACGGAGCAGACACGGCAGGAAGTCTAGGGAGCAAGTCCGGGTTTGTGGTTTACAACTCCTAAATATCAGTATCAGAACAGAAACAGTTCCTTCAGTGAATAACTTGCAACAACAGAAAGATACGGAGGGAGCATCTGTCAACTAAAAGACACCTAAAGGACCTATCAGTCTATTGTAATGTGTGGGTTTTATTTGAATTCTGATTCATGGTGGCAACTCTAAACGTGACATTTATGACACTCGTGGGGCAATTAAATTAATTTTTTAAGGCACTGGCATTGTGGTTACGTTTTTAAAGAGTTCTTATCTTTTGGAGGTATTTCTGAAATATTTATGGATGAAATGATGCCTGGGATTTTCTTCAAAATGATACAGGTAGTAAGGGAAAGGTGCAGACGAAACAAGATTGACCGTGATTCGACCATCGTTACAGATAGGTGTTGAAGGTTCATCGTACTAATCTGCCTACTTTCTTACGTGTTGGAAATTTACCATAACAGAAAATGTAGAACAAACTATACTTAAGTATTAAGCGATTCCGTGAATGAAGGTGTGCCGGGAAGCCCCGCCCACTGAGCTGGGGAGGCCCCGGCCCTTTGGGCCCACCGCCCTTCCGCGGTCGGCTCTCTCAGGGTTCCAGTTTACGGTGTCTCCCGACTTTCTCACTTCCCCTCGGGAATCCATTGCCTTCGCATCTCATAAATCGCTCTCTCTGTTCTCCAGCCCCCACAGACTGCTCCGAGTTCCCAGAAGTCACCTGCGGCCTCCGGACCTGGAGCCGCCGCCGCAGGGCCTTCCCCACCACCCCAACCCCCGCAACCTCCGCCCCACATCCCTGGAGAGTTTGGTCGAGTCCGGCCGCAGACACCGCCCCTGGAGCCTGTCCGCGTCGTCATGGCGACGCTCGGAGCAGAGGCCGACGCCTAGGCCGACGCCGACATGGGCGCCCGCCGAATTCCGCCCCGGAACCATTTCCTGTGTGAGCGGCTTGGGACCTGGGGCGCGGACTTGGCCCCCTGGGCCGCAGCTGAGCTGCTCGGGCAGCCTGAACCGGGCGCGGGGGAGGGGGGGCGGGTGTCCCGCTGCGAGTCAGCCTGGGCTGGGGTCAGAGGAGAGAGAGGTCGGGCCTAAAGAGTTGTGTGAGGATGGGGGTGCTGCGTGGGTTTGGGGTCGACCCCGACCCCTAGCAGGAGACGGAGTAAAGGGACTCTGAGGGGAGCAGGCGTTTGGCTAGGGTGAGAGGGCCTGCCGGGTAGAGAGGATGGGGCAAGGGGACCAAGGACTGGGGTGTGCGAAAAGAGACGGGGTTCACCCTGGAGTGAGTGAACTGGAATAGGAGCTCTCCTGAAAATGGTTTAGCCCTTGTTCCTGCGAAGTACAGGCAGGGAACTTGAGGCAGCCACGAAGAGGGAGCCTGAAAGTGAACTAGAGGCAGGTTTTGTTGAAGGGATGGAGGGGAAGGACACTGTTGTGGGGGAGGCTGTGCTGAGGGGGAAATCTTCAGAGATGCTAGTGAGAGGAGGTGGGAGGAGGGAAGGGGAAAAAGAAACTTCCAGAAAATGATTATTAAACATTGTCTTCATTGTGGTTACTGTATTTTGCTTGGTGCTGTGGACTGCAGGGAATCTAAAGTTATGAGCCTTCTCCAGGAAAAAAAAAAAGAGAGAGAGAGAGAGAGAGAGAGAAAGAAGCACATAAAGATCCACATATGATTTTACATTCACTCTCAGAGACATCGCAGAGCAGGCCCCCAAGCATGTACAAGGACCCCAAATTTAGAGACTTAGCTGTAGAAGATGGCAAGATATATAGGCTTTATAAAGAGTGTATAAGGCAATAAATCATTAAGACCCAATGAGTAGTAGAGGCGTTAATTGCTGAAGAATGTGGAAGGGTGTTGGGGTCAGCATAGACTTTATGAAGAGAGTGGAACTTAACATGATAAGGAAAAGCAAGTCTGACAAAGGGTGCCCGTGAACCAGGACCCTAGATCCTAGGGCAGAGCTCCTAGGAATGCCTTCTGTGGTGCTGGAGGAGGTCCACTGGCCACTCCAACTTCTCATCACTCCAGAGACGGACCCTGGAAGTTGGCCCCAGGATGCCAAATGGTAAAGGGTTTCATGGTCACATGCAACTAAGAGACCGATTTGGAGAAATCTCAGAAGAAGCTTTTCCAATTTGATTTATTTTTCCATTCACATACCCCTCCTAATAGCTCAAAAGCATCTCAGGACTACATTTTGGGAAAAGCTTTTGAGGAGAGAGAATGAAGGACAACAGAAGGGTTTTGAGCAAAGGCATGATATTGGGTTGTGATGTGCGACACAAGATTAATGGGACATCTCTGTGTGGGAATGGAGTGGCCAGGAGAGGCAGGGAGGCAGGGAGGGCCTGGTATACACAGTCACAGAGGTACATTTGTCAAAGACTGAGAAAAAAAAAATATGTGTGTGGTTTCTCATACTGCTACTGTTTGGTCCCCGCACCCCCACCCCCAGGAAATGACCTTTGGCTCTAAAGAGAAGACTCGATTTTTCATGATAAAATGGCAGTGGTGAAAACCCCCAGCAGAGAACTGGGCAATGCCGAAGAACCATTTACTAATGTATCCCCCCTCCTTTTGAAGAGGCTAGTGGAGGAGCCCAAGAAAAGAAGAGAAGTACCTAATCACCTTTTAGAATCAAGTAAGTAAGTAGAAAAGAGATTTGCTTTACAATTTACATCTTACCGGAGGATCCAAAGTCCAGAAAGCACAATGGGATTTTTGGTGCTGATTTCTCTATATTGTTTAATGGGCTATATTGTTTTATGGGCTCACAATAGCTTTTATTATTCTATTCTATGCTAAGTTATATTGCTTCCTCTAACAGCTTACCTATCTGTCCCCACTGCCTTGTTCCTCATCCTCAGCAGGGTCACTGGGTTATCCTAGTGCTCTCCTCTGTGCTCTGTGCTCACCTTCACACCCCGTCAGTCAGTTTCCTTTGTGCAGTCATCGCTGGCCCTGCCCCTATCTTGCTCAGATACATTCAGTGGTTCCATTGCATTGGGAAGAGAGTTGCAATTTCCTTCACTTGGCATTTGGCCCCCCTGCTGTGGATGCAAGCCCGCCCACCGAGCACCATCCCCACGCTGTGCACTGCTCTTTTCCAGCTCCAACCACACAGTTACTCCTGCTTCTTCAAGACCACATGCACTTTATACCTGCTTGCCTTTTTCCATGCACATCCTTTCCCTGCCATGCACATGGAAAGCCTAGTAAAATCCTGTAGCTAGTATGTAAGAGGCTAATCATTTTGCCTACATTATTCTCACTTAATCCACACAATGTCAACGTTCAGTTTTTATCTTACTGGTGGGGAAGTTGAGGCTCAGGGAGGTCAAAGGAATTATCCATGGCGGCACAGCTGGGTGGAGAGGTGTTGTTCTGTCACAGTCGCCCAATCTCCAGCTCTCTACCAACATACTAGGCTGCTCCTCACTCATCTTTCAAGGCCCATCACAGATGTTGAAATGTGGTATTTCGGTGTGGCTTTTTCATCACCATAGAACTTACTGAGTGCAAATTAGTAGACTTGACTCTTTCTGGGCATCAACAGAAAAATACCGGTCCTGGGTCTATTTTGCGGCCCTAATAACAAAAGCAAATGTTCAGCATTTAACAAGTTTAGCAAAGAAGGTTCATTTCAATACTTAAAAAATGATCAAATAACCCACAGTGATCACCCATCCCCCAGAAACATCATCCTGACCCCATCCCAGCCCTTTGGTTTGGCCCAAACCTGATGACAGTGTCGGGTCACCTGGTGAGGAGAAGACCACCAATCATTTCATATGCACTCCAGATGTTTATAAGAATCACAGCAGGCTAAGCAATGGGGGAGGGTGTCTCAGGCTCATGTGCGTTTGGCAATAGCCAAAGGTGAAAGGTCATTATGTGTAAGAAACTGAACAGCGCCTTCGTATTGAGGGAGGCAGTTCAGTGTTTGGAATTGGACAGACCTGGGTTTGATTTTTAACTCCTGGCCCTGGGCAAGTTGCTTAATTTTGTTGAATCTCAGCTCCTTCACCGGCACAATGGAAATAGTACCCACTGCATAGGGCTGGAACAAAGATTATGAACAAATGCCTAGTGGGTTGCCATGGGTTCTCTGTGCCTCCTCTACACGTCTCAGCTCCTGCCTCATGAAGAGCTGGGGAAAGTATTATAGATCCGGACACTTTTGTGAGATCGGCTGTTTTAACCTTGTTCTCAGAACTGAAGAAAAAAATAAAAAAGATATTCACATTACACTAATAGCAGTTTGAGACTTTATTGTCCAGAGCAATAATGACTCAGAGCTTTACGATTATTCTATCACATTGTAATTCTATTTGGAGGAAATCCAATGATAACAGGTAAATAATCTAGTGATGAAACTAAACACTTGGAGTCTTTGAACTGTGTATTTGTTACATAATAAGTCACATCAGGGTTACCCAGAGCAGCAAAGTTAGGGTGTGTGCTATTGCAAACTCATGTTTTGTTATGAAGACTTGTACAAAATGGGAAGAGCAGATTATTTTAGTGGGTAATAAACAATACATGTGAATTTGTGTTGTGATGATAATTATCTCCCAAACGATGTGTAAATATAGAAGGAGAAGCAGTACAGTTCATTTGGAATAGATCATTGATCTTGTTGACAGCTGTATCCTCTGTCTGAAACTTTCATATGCTAAAAATACCCTAAATTAAAGAAAGCCCACATTAATAGGATCTTTATTTATCTAATATTTTCTCTTATGTCACATCTCATGGTGTACTTACCTACATTGTTTTTATAGAGGTTTATGCGAAAGTTGTGAATAATAAGGTCATACAGGCAAAACCTGGCATATTGCATTTTGGAGGCTACGAAGTAGAAAAACACCACCAACAGATTCTGGTAGGTATTTTTTAAGTGGGGTAATTAATCATGGTAACAAAATGACATGAATGTTCTCCATTTATATAACTCATTCATTTAAAGAGCAGCATTATCTGCAGAAGCACAGATGTGAGTTGGGCCAGAAAGTTGGGTCTAGGATGAGAAATTTTAAAGCCACACCAGTGTCCTTGGACAAGCTACTTTCCCCCTGCCAAGGGCTCCTCATAGCATTCTTTCCAAAGAGGTGTCATTGTTGACCCACTCTTAGGGGTTAGGAACTGTGTGTGCTGTCTCATGGTGATCGCGTCTCACATGATTGGATTTCATCCTTACCCTAGCTCTGTGGAGGTTGTAATATTATTCTCATTATATGGATGAGGAAACCAGGATTCCAGAAGTTTCAATAGTTGGTTCAAGACCACACAGCTAGTAGAAGTGATAGAGACTGACTTTGACTTTTAAGCTGCCTTCTTCCAAACCAGTGCCTTCCTCCTCCAAGCCTACACAACCAGGGAGAGGGTTATCCCTTTCCTAGGAGGCTTCAGTGAGCTTTCTGTTTCACGCGCTCGGGTCCAGTGCTCATGCCAAAATCAGCCGTTCTGGCCCGAGAGATTCAAGCCAGGTCTGGGTGGCAAGGGTCCGTTCTACTGGACAGTCTCCAGGAGGGGCAGTTGAAAGGATGGACTACAGCCCACCATGGAAGGGTCCCCTTCATTGACCTGCGGGTTCAGACTGGGTGGGCTTGGGGTGGCTATAGCATTCCTAACTCCTATGCTTAGAGGACCTGAAATTTTTTTTTTTTTTTAAGAGGGATGGGGAGGGACAGAGGGAGAGGGAGAGAGAATCTTAAGCAGATTCCACATCCAGCCCATAGCCTGTCAACCCTGAGTTCATTACCTGATATGAAATCAAGAGTCAAACACTGACTGAGTCAGACCGACTGAGCCACCCGGGAGCCCGGGACCTGAACATTTAAGCTCTATAATCTCGCTGACCTCACTTCAGTCCCCTAAAGTCACACTGAGCAGGCGTCTCAGAACTACTCCTGCTGGGCTCCGGGGTCTGAACCAAATGACCTCCGTGCGTGGTTGGAGGGATGCAGAGGCAGCCTACCTCCTCATGAGCCCTCTGAGACTCCAGCTTTGTACACTACGTTCCACCTCTGGCTCTGTCACCAGCCACCACAAAAGTCTCTACTTTTAGAGGCGGGGGGGAAGCTGACAAATGCTAAAGCTGTCGGGAGGTAAAGTTAGGTTTCTATCAAGCAGTCCCCAACAAACAGATGATGCCGTTTCCATGCATCCTAGTGCATCGAGGTGGGTAGAGAGAGAATACACCCAGAGAGAAACCTGTTAGGTGCCAAGCGTTTCCTCTCAGAAAGAGGGTAAGGTTTTAAAACAGTCTATTAGACAATCTGCTGGTCAACCTACAAGCATGCACTTCTTAGAACAGAGCATCAAAGACCAAGGTTAGTAAGTGGTTTCGGAGCCTACTTTTTCTGGTGTTAGGTTTGCTGTCTCCATGGTGATAGGGTAGATCTAAAATAATTATCTTTCATAATTGTTCATTGTTTATAATGAATATAGGAATAAACAATTCACTCCCTACCCTCCAGTACCCTCGCTCCTCTTATTTCCCCACCCAGTCTACTCCTACCCTAGGCAACTGCTCATCCGCTTTCTGTTAGCATAGACTTAACTATTCTGATTGTTCATGTAAATGGAATCATGTAACATGACGTAGCCTTTTGTGACTGGCTTCCTCCATTTAGCGTTGTTTCCCAGGCTCATCCACCTTGTAGCATCTATCGGTACCTCATTCCTTTTTGTGACTGAATACTATTCCATTGTACGTCTCTACCACAATTTGTTTATCCATTCATCAGTTGGTGGACATTTGGATGTCAACTTTGAGGTTATTATGAATAACACTGTTAGGAACATTCCTGTACGTATTTTTATGTGACAGATTTTCATTTCTCTTAGATATATACCAAGGAGTAGAATTGTTGGGTTGTAGGTATGTTAGTTTTTTGGGGCTGCTATAACAAATAACCAAAAATTGAGGGTCTTAAAAAAATAGAAATTTATTCTGGAGGACAAAGTCCAAAATTAAGGTGTATGCAAAGCTCTGCTCCTCCAGAGGTGCTTGGGGAGAATCTGTTTGCCTATGGCAGCTTCTGGCAGGTGTTCCTTGGCTTGTGTGTATGTAACTCCACTCTTTACCTCTACCTTCATATGCCTTCTCTGGCTCTGTGACTTCTCCTCTTTAAAAAAGGATACATCATTGGATTAAGGCCTACCTGGGTAATTCAGGAAGATCTCATCTCAAGGTCCTTAACTTAATAACATCTGCAATGATCATTTTCTCAAATAAGGTCACATCCACAGGGGCTAGGTATTAGGATGTGAACATACCTTCTTGAGGCCACCATTCAACTCACTGTTGTTGTTGTTTTTTTTAAGGTGATAGAAGCTTATTGAATGCACCACAAGGGAGTGGCAGGCAGGACAGCAGAGGAGAAGCCATCTGCTCAATTCACTATTTTATTTGTATTTCTTTATTTGCATGCTTTATTTGCATTTCCCTAATAAGTAACAATACTGGGGGGGAAAAAAAGCTTATGGAAACTTCCAGCTGGCTTAGTCAGTAGAGCATGGTACTCTTGATCTCTGGGTTATAGGTTTGAGCCCCACATTGGGTGTAGAGATTACTTAAAAATATTTTAAAAAACAAAGAAAGGAAAAGCTTGTGGGAGGAGAAACCACTTAAGATAGCCCAAAAGGAAAGAGAAGTGGGAAGAAGGTATTCAGGGCATAAAAGAAGACATTGAGAGAGGTCCAGGGTGCGTCCTCCTTATTTGGACACTAGTGTACAATCTAGTTTACCTGGATTATAGGGTTTGGGGAGGGAGATAAAAGCTGCATTCTGTTGAAGAACAGAGACCATCTCTTTGATACAGCACAATGCTTAACACATAGAAGTTACTCAGTAAACACTTCTGAATGACCCTGAGTTCACTTCACTGGAAGAGAGTGACTTGGTGAAGACTCACACACTCCCAGGTAAATACAGTGTAAAGTCTATATAATCAAACTGCTTCTTTCAGACATGAAAACAAGCAGGCACAGATAAAAGTACAAAATGATTTCATCTTAATAACATTCTGGGAGATCTTGGGAGGGCCGCCTCCTGTTTCCACCAGCAAAGTTAAGCGGAAGCCTAAGGCAATTACCTTGAGATTCTTGCCAAAGAAAGGGGAAAATCCAGCTCTGCTTTTATCTTGGTTTTGCTACAGGAAACTATGCAAATTGCCCAAGAATGGAAAGATAGAATGTGGGTTTAAAAACCACAATAAATTGTTCATTAACATTCGAGATTGATCCAGATCTGGTTAAAGGATTTAAAGCATTTTACTTGGATTCATAGTGAGATCAATGCTTTGACTTACTTTAAAATTTGAAAGAATGGTTCCCAGGTTTCTCAAAACAAAGACCTCTTAAATTCTTTTTCCCTCTGCAGAAAGATTTTGTTTGTCTGGAAAACTATATTTAATAAGTAAATAATTAGTTTTCTCACAAGACAACCAGTGTTGATGTTGCCAGCCCAAAACAAAGTTGTTAGAAATTAACACTTTCTTTAGGCTTTCTGAAATAATGGCATTAGTTTTCAATTCCCTATTGCAACCTTTAACACCACCCCCCAACATATAGCCAAATATTACATCTTTTATTATAATGAATGGGATCTATGTTGTTTGATTCTTTTAAAAAATTTTTTCTAATGATTTATCTATCCATTTTAGAGAGAGAGAGAGAGTCCACGTGCACAAGCCAGTTAGGGGGAGAGGCAGAAGGAGAGGGGAGAGATAGCCCCCAAGCAGACTCCTTGCTGAGTGGGGAGCCAGATCCATTGCTTGATCCCAGGACCCCAAAATCATAACCTGATCCAAAATCAAGAGTCAGAGGCTTAACCAACTGAGCCGCCCAGATGCCCCTTTAATTTATTTTTATTTTTATTTATTTATTCTGAGAGAGAGAGTGGCACAAACGAGGGGTAAGTGGTGGGGAAAAGGCATAGGGAGAGCAAGAATCTCAAGCAGGCTCCATGCCCAGTGTGGAGCCCAACACCGGGCTCTCAATCTCACAACCCTGAGGTCATGACCTAAGCTAAAATCAAGAGTCAGAGGCTTAACCAACTGAGCCACTCAGGCACTCCCCTATGTTGTTTAATTCTTTAAGAAATGAATTCAGGGGCACCTGGATGGCTTAGTGGGTTAAGTGTCTGCCTTTGGCTCAGGTGTTGATCCCAGGGTCCTGGAATCGAACCCTGCATAGGGCTCCCTGCTCTGCTGGGAGCCTGCTACTTCCTCTTCTACTCCTCTTGCTTGTTTTCCCTCTCTCACTGTGTCTCTCTCTGTCAAATTAAAAAAAAAAGAAAGAAAGAAAGAAAATGAATTCAGTATTTTCTAATTGGTAATTTTTTATTCATTTGACAATGTAGATATTACCTACTGAATTCCAGTGCTTATCCTTCACATACAAATGAGTTGTGGGCATATTTGAATTTGCTCTGCCACACTCAGGTTGGAGGAAACGACAGGTTTCTATATTTTTTTAAAATCAGGATGTGGCCCAGCCCTCACCCACAGGTGCTGGCTGTATCTTCAGTCTCAGGAGAGCCAGCTGTCTCCTCCCTTGGGACCACTCAGGGATACTGGAACACCTGAACCCGCTCAGTGGCTTTGCGCACAAGACCTCTGGTCTCCAGCCGTGACGCCGCTTGTTGCAAATTGACCTAAACCCACGAAGTGATTAGATATTAGGTAGATATTGAGAACCTGACCCTGAAGGGAGGTGGGAGTCAAAGGTCCCCTCCCAGCAGCCTTGCTACCAGGTGTATCTGCGGCTATGAAACAGGTCCGAGAAGAAATTCTGCCATGCATACGACACTCACCAGCAAGCAGGCAAAAAAGAATGACCATACCTGACATCTCCAGAAAGGCCCAACCATAGCTCCTTGCAAGGAAGCTTTGCTGGCAGCAGATCTAGTAGGTCCACTGATAGGATTAGCCTACCTTCCAACCAGCTGACAGGATTTTTTTGTGCTGTGCAAAAACACAAGACCCGAGGGAGTCCTGGGTCTTTGAAGGTCATGCTAAAGGATCCTGGGTTCTGGGCTCACTGGATTCTCAGATCCCTTTTGTTTAAGAGCAGGAATGCCTGTATGAAAGTTCTGGTAAATACAACTATCCTGATATTGTAGACCCTCTAGTGCCAGTTCAGGTGAGAAGGATTGAAATGGCCTGAGTCACCACCTCTGGAGTATGGATTCTGGATTAGGCTCCCACAGTGTCTACTAAGCACTCCTGGAGTACAGATTACTGATTTCTTCTAAGGTTTACCACCCTTGGGATGCATATTAAAAGCAGTCCCTACACCCTTGTTTGTTACCCTGTCCTTACTGGATTTAAAAAAAAAAAAAAGGTTTTTTTTTAAAGTGACAGCCAATATAACCACTTCTGTTCCCAGTTCTTCCTGGACTCTCTCACTCAAGGCTTCCAACTCCAGGGTCCCCCTTGATGACAAGCATGGGGACAGAATTCTTTGTCAAGGCTTCCAGGCCCTGGGGCTCTATGGCTACCTACCCATCCCCAGGCAGGTCCCACCACCCCAGGATTCTGGGTGTGATGGGCACAGGCCCCAGGCATCCTGGGTCCCAGCATACCTATCCCTCCTCCCCACATCTTTCTTGGAAGGACCATCTTGTCGGTAGAGCCCCAGGAGCCCACACCTTCACCAAGACTGCCCCTGTGCAGGGCCCTTTGGAGGTCCAGAGCAGCCTGGAGAATTTTTTTTTTTTTAAGGCTTATAGCATATTAAAAAAAAAGAAAAGATATGCCAAAACAGGGCATAAAACAGGGTCACTTTAGGAATGTTCACAGGTGACAAATAAGAGTTTTTAACAAACTCAAACACCACTGTAACCTCATCAGGAAGTAATGTCTGAATTTTAATTTAGGGCTTCAGTGACCATGAGGCCTTGGGCAATGGGCCCCATGACAGGCCCAGCCTCTGGCCTGGACTTTGGAAACAAAGGCCTCTTAACTGTCCCCTGGCCCAGGTGAAGCCCCAGTTCCCAGATCCCGAGGTTCTTGGTCCCATCTCAAGCGGAGGAGGAAAACACTCCTATTTAGAGACCCAGTTATTTTATGAAGCAAGTTGTCCTGCCTCACAGCGGGGGCCTTCTCCGGTCACCATCCACCATCGGAGAACTCCTGACTTTCCTGACTTCCAACTTCTTTTCCATTTGCCCCAGGCATGGATTGGAGGCTGCCCTAGCCACACTCTTTTTCCTCATTTTTTTGACCACCGTAGTGTCGCCGGGCCCCCAGGATCAGTGGCATATAATTTGAAGTAGTTGTGGGAGTTGGTGGGTGGCTGACTTTTTAGCTGGATCACAGGATGAAATGGAGTTGTGAAAATTCATAAGTGATAGGAAACCTGGTTCATAATGGAGTCGGGAGGCTGTCACACCCCACTACTCCTCTGTGACTGCAGACCCCGTAGGAAGAGATGTACCTTGCAAGTCCATACTTTAGGTACTACTTCACTGACCCCAGCAGGAGGAAGGAAGATTTTCCTTCTCCCCGAGCAACAGCCCAGCCAGTGAGAGACAGTCACAATCAACCAGTGAACAGTCCCTACACTTCAAATTCCCAGTTTACTCCAATGGACTTTTGTTTATAAATAGTCCTCACCCCCTTCCCTCTTGCATCCCCCTTGGTCTGGGACTTGTCTATGGTTTTGCAGCAGCCTTCTTGTCCTAGTTTGCAAATCTGTGTTATTCTGAATAACCCCACTTTTTGCTGGCAGAGTAACTGGTGGCTTTTTTGTTTTGTTTTGTTTTTGAGGTTAACAGCTCAACAAAAAGGCACACGTGGTAACTGGTCAGAATTGGGAATGAGGGCTTTGTAGAGGAGTTTACTGTCTGGGGGCTGCAGGCTCTAGTAAGGTCCCTAATCTGGGCAGAAGGCACTTTGGTATGCTTTATTATCCTTTAATGGGTGTTGTTTTCAGGGTACTTGGCTAGCTCAGTTGGTAGACCATATGACTCTTGATCCCAGGGTTGTGAGTTCAAGCCCCACATTTGGTGTGGAACCTACTTCAAAAAAAAATTGTAAGTGATGCTGTGTTTCTTTTACTATTCTTTAAATGGTGTATGATGCTTTCAAATCTTCTAAAAAGTGAAACAATAAATTTTGTCTCCGCAAATCTCTTTAGGAACAAGATGATGAGATATGCAGCTAGCTAAAACAGTGTTTTCCCTAAGCGCTTCTCTTTCTCTCACAGCTTTTGGTCAATATTTCCAATGAAGACGTACATGTGCATATTTTACCCCCGCAAACCAAATACTTTCAGATCAAGTATGTGAAAACGGTAAGCACGGCCTGTTGCCTGTTCTCCATGGGGCTCTCTTTGGATTGTGACTTTCCGTGTGGTGGGTCTGCTTGGGACGCATGTGTAGTATGCCGCCACCACAGCCCGCTTGTTTTCTAGGAACACCGCCTCGTCCCCGGCTTGTCCCTCACAGTCACCGTTACGTTTTCTCCAGATGAGTGGCGATACTATTATGATTGTATTCGGGTTCACTGTAAGGTAAGTTTTCTTAAGATTGTTTTTTTGGAGGGTAAGGGACAGGACGATGTCAAAACTTATACCCTGAGGGAAGAACAGAGGGAAATGGAGCGATAAGTGTGGTTTCTCACCCAGCCCATGTGTTCCTTGGGCAGCCAGTGTGAGTAGCATGGAGGGTCCTTGTCTGGTGACTTGGGTTCTGGATGCAAGAGCAAGAACCAAGAACCAGGGCAGAGTCATGAGACATCATTTGCTTCAGGTTTCCAGCCTGCCCTGACCTGGAAACTCTATCATGAAGCTGTAGGAGTTGATTAAAAAAAAAAAAAACTTTGTCAAATAGCTTAAACAAACTCCTTGAAGTGCTAGGCTTCCAAATTAGCAGGATCCCCGAATTGTGATTACGAACCCCAGGGACTGGATGGTGTCATGTTGGAATGTCCTCAGAGGCAGCCCCTGGGGCCTGCAGAGAGATAGGAGCCTGGGTGGCCTGACCTCAGATGGCTGGGCTGTGTGGGTCCCTGTGAGCCTTTTCGAGGTCACCAAATTCATCCTGTGGCCTCCAGCCAAGGCCAGCTCCATGTGCTGTCAATCCATCTCTTCTAGCAGCCCCCCATATGTCCCTTTGCTCCCCTAGGCCCAGTTCTTGCAAGTCGAGAAGCCTTAAGGGGAACTAAAAGTATGCCTTAGTAACCCATGAGTTCCAATCTTTAAAAAGAAAATTGAAAAGCTAAACTGAAAACAAAGGTAGGGTATGGCTTTCAGCAGGAGCACCTGCACCAAGAAGATGAGTCTCAAGGACAGGCATGGTACAGAGGGCCAGGGCCCATCTCCTGCTACTCAGGGGTAAGGCTAATATAATACTTTGCAAGGATGTAATGCTCTTATCTCTTTCAGGCCATCATCTGCCTTAATTCTTAAAAATAACTTTATTTTATTTTTATAAATTGTTTAATCTTTAGTTTTTTTTTTTTTAAGATTTTATTTATTCATTTGAGAGAGAGAGAGAAAACATGAGCAAGGGGAGGGGGAGAGGGAGAGGAAGAAGCGGACTCCCCGCTAAGCAGGGTGCCTGATGCAGGACTGTATCTCAGGACCCTGGGATCATGACCTGAGCTAAAGGCAGATGCTTAACTGGCTGAACCACTCAGGCACCCCTTAAAAATACCTTTAAAATAAAGGCAGAAGTATTCCCATTTTGCAAAGGAAGAAACAAGGCTTGGAGAGGTTTTGTTTAAGGTCAAACATAAAGTGGGATGGCCTGCAACCCTCTGGGCCCAATGTCAGTTCATGGTTTATGGTTCATTGCTCTCTGTTTCTTTTGGGCTCCTACAGACTAGGTTTGCTTATAATTTTCTCAAATAGAAGTAGGTAGATTACTGTCTTTGTATCTATAGGAAGACATTGTTATCTTTAGCTTTACTGGATAATAGTGAATATCACTTCAAGGAAATGTACTTAAAATTTCCTACAGTTTGTTTATAGTTGGGAAGGCTCAATATTTCTGGTGTTATATGTAAGCACTCAGGTTTCTTAAGGAAATGTTTTTTAGGATAGCAAACAACATAAGAAAGTATCTACAAGTTCATTTTTGAAAATTAGAGCCTCCAGTATAGTAAACTTGACTTTTTCCCTCCATTAATTTCAGGGAGATGACACTTTGCTTATTCCCATCCATGCCTATCCTGTCATGAACACATTGGACTTTCCCTCATTTATAAATCTATCCAATGTTTTCCTTGGTGAAAGGTGAGTTACCAAGATGAACTACCAAAATGTTATAGGTCATGAAAAGCTAAGGTATATGCACATAGAAACTTAGATTTGTATTTTTCCTAATGGCAGGTTATGCTTGTAGCTGAGTTAGACTGGACTTATAGTTGGAAAGGCAAAACAAGGGGCCCCTGGATGGCTCAGTAGGTTAAGTATCTGCCTTGGGCTTGGGTCGTGATCCTGGGGTCCTGGGTTGAGCCCTGCATCAGGCTCCCTGCTCAGTGGGGTGTCTGCTTCTCCCTTTACTGCTCCCCCTGCTTAAGCTCTCTCTTTCAGATATATATATGTGTATATATGTATAAAATATTTTAAAAAGAGTGCCTACCTGGGAGAATTGTCCTGAGGATTTAAATACGTTAAAGTAGAACTTAACAATAGTTAACTTAACAATAGTTAACAATATTTGAATGTTTGAATTATGCAATATTTGAATATTTTAATACTTAATAATAGTAAGAACAGTGGTTTGCATGTAGCTACTGATTTAAATTAGCTATCAGCCATCATCAGTGCCATCATCATCATCACCAAAGAGATTTTGACCTAAGTAATGTACAAGTGAGATCCAGACAGGTTGACTCACACATCAGCAAAGGTAGACAATGTATAGAGAAATTGTGATGAGAAGCTTGGAATGGAAAGGCTGGCGGCCAAGTTGAAGGTGGGCTTCCAACACTGAGTGATGGGGTAAGAGCTGAGGGACAGTTGTGAAGCTCCAGAAGAGCATGTCAGGGACTGTGCCTCTGCTGGGGAGAGTGGCCCACTGGCAGGTCTGCAGCAGGGCAGGGAGGAGGGGCCCTTTTCTCTTGGCCTTTATATGTTAAAAAACAAACAAACAAACAAAAAACCTGTTACTGAGATATAATTCACATATGATAAAATTCACTAATTTAAAACATAAAGTCTGATCATTTTTAGTACAGGCAGCCATCACCACAATCAGTTCTTGAACATTTTTTTCATTACCCCAAAAGGAAACCCATTACCCATCTCTCATTTCTCCTTCAAACTTCTAGTCTCAAGCAAACTCTACTTTACTTTCTGTTTCTATAAATTTGCCTATTCTGGACATTCATATACATGGGAGCATACATTAGGAGGTCTTTTGTGACTGACTTCTTTCAGTTAGCATAAGGTTTTCCCGGTATCAGTACTTCGTTCCTTTTTATTGCCATTTAATATTCTATTATGTACACATACCACATTTTATTTATCCATCAGTTGATGGATATCAAGTTGTTTCCACTTTTTTTTTAAATATTTTATTTAATTATTTATTTGACACAGAGAGAGAGAGAGAGAGACAGCAAGAGAGGACACACAAGCAGAGGAAGTGGGAGAGGGAGAATCAGGCTTCCCACTGAGCAGGGAGCCTGATGCAGGGCTCAACCCAGGACCCTGGGATCATGACCTGAGCCGAAGGTAGATGCTTAACGACTAAGCCACCCGGGTGCCCCAGTTGTTTCCACTTTTTGGCTACTTTGAATAATACTGCTGTGAACATTTGTGTGTATGTTTTTATTTGGGTATATACGTGGTTATTTGTGTTGGGTATATACCGAGGAGTGGAACTGCTTGGTTATGTAGGAACACTATGTGTAACATTTTGGGGAACTTCCAGAATTCTTTCCAAAGGGACTGCACCATTTTTAATTTCTATCAGCAGTGTGTGAGTTCCAGTGGCACTTATATTTGTGAATGTCAGAGGAGAGCAGCTCTATCTACAGCTAAAGAAAAATTCCTGTATATTATGGAGAAGGACAAAGGTTATGGGAAAACACAAATCTAACAGAAGGTAGCTTCAGAGAATGTGTTTTCTCTCTGCATGTAGAATCCATTCAGACAAAATTGCCAGAAGTTACAAGATCTACATTTAATACCACCAAGTCTGCTTTCTTACTTTGAGGTTGCTTCTGGGGAGAAGCAACTGTGGTCTGGATAGGGCCTCTCTGAGGACTGGATAGCCTTTCCCACAAGATCATGAAGTGTACTTGTATATATTCATCAACCACATTTGCAACTGGCTGGATTTGATGGTTGTAAATTTTCCTTGCTGAAATAAAATTCTACGTGGACATTTGCCTCTAAACAACCATGGCGGCTTAAGATCTGGTAAAATGTATTTTGACAGCTTCTGTAAATAACAAAAAGTTGCATTCTGGTCTCTGTCCAACATCTCTAAACCAAACACTGTGGGGTACAGAGGACTTTTAGTTCTCTTTCCCTTTTGGAGGTTGAAAATCTGCTTTATAACTAGTCTAACCACCATGGCTGATTAAATTTCATAACCACTTTATATTTTAGGGAGTATTACAGACAAAATACAATTTTCCCCGGGGGTGGTTGGGTGGCTCAGTTGGTTAAGCATCTCCTTTCAGCTCAGGTCATGATCCCTGGTCGTGGGACTGAGCCCCACAACTGGCTCCCTGCTCAGCAAAAAGTCTGCTTCTCCCTCTCCCTCTGCCCCTCTGCTCACGCTTTCTCTCTTTCTCTCAAATAAATAATTAAAGTCTTTTAAAAAGTGCAATATTCCCCTTCCTATAGATGCAAGTAACTAAGAACATGCTTTTATTAGGTGCTGAAATTTGGTATCTTTCCATTCCTGTGTTTCTAAAAAGATTCACATAGAATGATCAAGCTCTGTAGTTTCTCTAGCAGTGTCTACCTGGTACCCAATAACTGGTCAAAATCTGTAACAAACCCAGTCAGTTGACCAGTTCTCTCCATGTGGCATCAACATGTCTTCCTTGCACCAAGATGACTGTTGTCCAGTTGGTTAGTGTGCTCTAGACAAGCTTACATGAAAGTCACCTGGGCCCTTTCCTGGACTCCCTGTCACTTCCCCATTTTTCACTCGACCTGGTTGGTCCCATGGGCAAGGCAGTCATGTTGCTCCAAAGCAAGTGGAACTAAGAGTCCATCTCAGGGCTGCAGATGCTGTGTAGACCACAGGGTCACATTAACAATGCCAGCAGAGCAGGTCCCTGGCTACACCATCCCAAACCCGGGCTGGAACTTTTACATCATTAAGTTTAAGAATTTACCAAAGGATGCTTTTCTTTAGGCAGTGAACCTCATGGCTCATTCAGAAAGTGTGGGAATACCCAAGGTCAGAATAGGATGTCCAAATGAAACCTAGTTCTCTCACTGCCCTATGGTTGAAAGCATATGGGCCACAGGAGAATGTGAGTAGCACTGGGAGGGAAAGAGCCACAGTGAGGGTGACTGGCATAGACAGCAACCGGGTCCTGTTTCGAATTGTGCGAGTAAAGAGCCTCTGCTTGAAGGCCCCACAAACCAGCTGTAACCGGGTTAGAATGAAGGGGTCAGAATGACTACAACACAACATTGATCTTCAGAAGGATATTTTTGAAGCCCTCCCTACTCAAAGAGAATAAATTCACATTTTTCAGTTCATCCGGGGAAACACTGTCCTTATGCTAGGGACTCATTTTTTTACGTCCCAGAGTCAAAGTTGACACGAAGGAGCAGCGACTTTTTATGGAGATATTCTGACAAGGGGGACTTGAACTCATCAACACACCTGTGCTTTATTTCAGCCCCTACTTTGAGTTTATCGAGCAGCAGTGAACTTGTATTTCAAAATTGATATTCAGAGGAAAAAAGGCACTTGGTAACAGCCTGAATTTTTATATGAAAATTTCTATCATATTTTATAGTTAAAATTGCTTTGATTTAATACCCCTTTGCTGAGCTAATATCTTATGCCAGTTTCTTTTTGTGAATTTTAACAGGAAATGAAAATCATCCCATTCCTAAACCTTAGGGATCTATATCAATAATGGAAGGGCATAACTGCTTCCCTCTTTCATTCAGCAGAAGTGGGTGCCAACTTGAGACAGTCACCAAAGGAAACTTTCAATGGAAGGCCTACACTTTTTTTTTTTTAACAAAATGTTGAGTTTTAGACTTTTGACTCCTAGGGAAAGTGATGGAAAGGCTAGAAAACTGAAAATGTGGGAAGCAGTATTGACCTTATTAAGGCCTGGTTTGAATATTGTAATACTCTGCTTTTCTCCCTTCGATTTTGTACAAATTTGATTTGGAAAATTGCTTGATTGGTTTGCATGGGGCTAAGGGACAGAGTGGCACCAATGTTTGGCCAGCACCTAGAACAAATGAATGCGCGCATAGAGGTAGTAACGAAAGGTGGGGTATTTCTGTTGCTTAGGTTCCTGTAGGCATTGAATACGTTCTTGGAATGATTCCTTAAACTCCATAGCATATACATTTTGTGACTTATATGAAACTACCAAGCTGCTATCATGAACTAAGCAGTAAGAACATTTTTTTAAAGATTTATTTGAGGGGTGCCTGGGTGGCTCAGTGGGTTAAGCCTCTGCCTTCGGCTCAGGTCATGATCTCAGGGTCGTGGGATGGAGCCCCGCATTGGGCTTTCTGCTCAGCAGGGAGCCTGCTCCCCTCTCTCTCTCTGCCTGCCTCTTTGCCTACTTGTGATCTCTGTCTGTCAAATAAATAAATAAAATCTTTAAAAAAAAAAAGATTTATTTGAGAGAGAGAGCACGAGCAGGGAGAGAGGGAGAAGCAGACTCCCTGCTGAGCAGGGAGCCCGACACGGCGCTCGATCCCAGGACCCCGGGATCACAACCCAAACCGAAGGCAAATGCCCAACCTACTGAACCACCCAGGTGCCCCAGCAGTAAGAACTTAAAAAATGAACTACATTTTAAATTCTACAAAAAATATCCAGGGGCCAGTCCCCAATTCTGATATTTAAGAATATAACACAAAGAGTTTCTGTGTCTCCCTAAAGCACATTCCTGGAAGCAGCAAAGACAAACACTATAGTTTTTGGTGTTGGAGACACACTCCTAAATGGAAAGTGTTTTCTGGGCATGTCTCCTCCTTGCTTGGTTTATACAGCAGACAGATCTCCCACCAAGCCCTGTCCAAGAGGCCACATCTGGTCACTACTGCTGCTGTTCTCCATGCTC